CAAGAGGGGCGGGCGGGCGCGGTCAGAAAAGATCTAGCAGTGGCCCATCGCCGAGGCGGTCGCACGTCCTCGATGTCACGCGCGGAAAAAAAAAAAAAAAAAAAAAAAAAAACGCGGCCGAGCGAATCCGGGGCGACGCGTGGACATCGACGTCGGCCGCCCCCCGCCCGCCCTATGAGCTAAAGCTTCGAAACCGTCGCAGAAGGGGGGGGCGGGCGAAACGCCCGCGAATGAAATCTGACATCTGCGCGCGATGAGAAGCCCGGGCCACTTCGACGGCGCCCGCTGCCAGGCCCACCATCTCGTCGAACTCGCCATCCACTCCGATAGACCCAATCCCCACTGAGGTCAGGGGCCGACGCGCAGAGCCGGGCCGATGCGAGCGCCGCCCGCAAGCGCCAGCTCTTCTTCTCAGCAAACATGCCTGCGCGCAAGCGACGCGACCCCCGCGAACACTCCTCCAAACAACGCGCGCGCGCCTGGCGGCCCCGCGCCCGAGCGGGGCGCGCGCGCCGCGGAACGTCGCGCAACCGAGCCTCAATCAACAGAATCTCCGCCTCCCACCAGACAGCGCCGACCACGAGCGACGACGAGCACCCGGACCTGGCGGCGGTCAGCAGCGCGCGAGGGAAGCGACGCCAGAGCATGTTTGAAAGGGGGCCAAAGCACTGGGGAGGGCGCCAGCGTCGGCGCAGCCTGCCCCCCCCCCCCCATCGGAGCAGCTCTCGAAGGGCCGCGCCCGCGGTGAGACGCGGCCCGCGCCCGACGCCGAGCCGCTGGAGCAAAACCAACCCTTCCAAAGAACAACGCGCTGCGTCCGCAATCTTCGGGGCCCGCCCGAAAGTCGCAGACAGGGGGCCCCCCGCAACGTCGACGGGGCAACTGACAATGCATCCAATTCAATGCATTGCTAGCTCCTGACATCTAGCGCGGGAACCGTCTCCAGCCCTCGATCCCCCCATTGCCGCCTTGCGGACCGATCGACCCGACTGGCCAGGCCAGCGCGCGCGGCGGGCAAAGGGTGGAGACGCCCCCGTTCATGAGCCGCCTGACACGGGGCGCCCCCGACACATGTCGGGCCGCGGTCGAGGGGCGGGCGCCCGCGGCCCGACTCTCTCGCCCACGCTACACCGCGGGCAGGACTCGCCTCCCACCAGCCCCCCGCGCCCGTCGCCCGCGCGCCTTCGGTCGCGCCCGCCGCCTCGGACGGCGGAAGCGTCGCCAGCATCGCACTCGCAAGCCTCGTCGCGGCCTGTTGCGCCACCGCCCAACTCCCTCGCCCGCGCCGAACGAGCGAATGACCGCCTCGCTCGCCGCGACAACGTCGGAGGCCCCACGAGCGGAGTCCAAAGCCCACTGCCTCGATGCCCGACGCAAATCCCTCGTGCACGCTCGCGCACTACAAGTTAGGGGCAGCCTGGGCGCGGTCACCTTGATGGTGGCCCAGAACGGGAGGTTCACCTGATCGTCCGTTGCGAAGGGGTGGGTTGTTTGATTATGGCCTGGAGCTCAGGGCCACGTGGCCAAACTTGGGATGTGACCATCATTCATGAACTCGTTTCGACATATCCCTAAAGTCCCCACGACACTTCTCTACGGGCTGCCAGAGGCACGAGAACTCACGACAACTCGCTGACGTAGGGCCACGCTCCTCAGGCTCGAACTGATAGGAACGGCCGCATCGGCGCATCATTCACGAACGCAGAATAGGCAACGTTTACGTTAATCTCGCGGTGCTGAACCTTGCGCGAAGTCAGGTCTCGCAGGTCAGATACCCGCCAACTCCCAAGGGGCCGAGAGACGCACTCTCATATTGCATGTCTTCTCCGCTCTCAGCATGACGAGAGCCCGTGGAGAGTCTCGACCTGCGGTCGCGGCTGGACTCTTCGGCCGCGGGGTGCTGGCCGCGCTGGTCCAAAAACCCCCCGTCTGGCAACCACGCCATACGCGCGACCCGCAGCCGTAATCCCAGCGCGCCCGATGCGCGCCGCTGTCACGTGGCCATAGACCCCCTCGGTCCAGCCTTCAGCCCCGACCTCTACGTCGGGGCCAGGCGGGCAAGTGGTGGGTGGAGCAGGAGAACAATAGCAGCTGTCGGCGACGATCGCGGCGATGTTCCTGACCGCACTCGCCGCGTGGTCGACGCGCTCGAGCACCAGCTCCTGGCAAGCCACCTCCTGCGCACCGCGCTGGTTTTCGTCCGGGCGGGCGAGGATGAAGACCAAGGCGAGCAGCACGAGCATCGCTAACTTTGACGAATTACAAAAAGACTGTGCTCGAACAGGCAAATTATTCTGGTCATGGGGAATTAAAATTGCCGCACGACACCTGGAAAAACCTGAGTACGTTTTTCCCGTGCAACGCGCACCCATAACGTTCCCAAAGGAACGGCAAATTGGGCCCCATACGGGGCGCGAAATTCGCGAGGAGCATGTGATCCAGATTCGGCGATGGGACAGGGGACCACGATCGGGCACCCCCGCTGTAGCAAAACTGTTGGGCTCCCCGCGGGAGTCGAAGCGTCTGGGGGGTGTGCCAGCTTGGGCGAAGCGACCACATGGCTCGCATCCAACGCCTTGGCCGCGGCTCGGCCTCCGTGCGGGCGGAACGCTGAACGTGAGGGGCGTGCTAGGTTTGACGAGATGGCCGCGCGTTCGCAACGCCAGGTGGGGCCGTGGCTGGGGGGGTCTGAGAGCAAGACAAACTACATCATATAAGAATGTTGGGAGGTCCGCGCGACTGCCCCCAGTCCCTGGCACGCGGAGCACGCCAAGGGCGGCGCCAGAGGCGCCGCCGAGAGACCCAGTGCCGATCCAAGAAAATCCGCGCGGACCTCCGAAAGCCTACGTTTGCGCAGTTGCTCCTGCTTCGCTGTCTGCATGGGGGCGCGAAGATGCGCGCGAGCGGCGCGCGCCGAAACGGGCGCGCGGGCGGCGGCAGGCAGGGGGGGAGGAGGGAAGCAGCCTGGCAGGGTGGGCGCGCCGCGCGGCTGAAAGGAAACAGAGATCCCACCCCCGAGAGGGGGGGGGGCTGGGGACTGACCATGGCCGCGCTAACGGCGATGTTGGTCAGCGGCGATGTTGGGGATCCGATGTTTGCGTTTGACGCCGAGCTCGCGAAGAACAGATTGTAGGAAATCACGAACCACGCTCCCCTACATTTCAAGTGCGCGAATGTATCGAACGAAACGACACGGCTAGTTTTTGACGCCGAGCTCGAGAAGAACATATTGTAGGAAATCGCGAATCACGCTCTCCTACATTCCATGCGTGCGAATGCATCGAACGAAACGACACAGCGAGTTGCAGGAGGTCACGAACCACGAGTTACTACACGCGGTTTGGCCACGTATCGCGCCTTCGCACAACTGGTTGTCCTACTCCGCCGTTAGCTGACACACCATTAGCGCGTCTACGGACCGAGCTGCCCCGCGACCGTCGCAGGCCCCACAGTGCCTCGCGCGCCAGAACTCGGGCTCCTCCACCTGGAGGAGCAGAGACCCCAGCTGCGCGAGAGGAGCGCGCCAAAACGGACGCGCGGGCAGCGCCAGCCAGGGGGGGAGGAGGAGGGGGGGGAGGAGGAGGAGGAGGAGGAGGGAGGAGGAGGAGGGAGGAGAGGAGGAGGAGGAGGAGGAGGAGGGGAGGAGAGGAGGAGGAGGGAGGGGGAGAAGAGGAGGGAGGAGGGAGGAGGAGGAGGAGGGAGGAGGAAGAGAGAAGGGAGGAGGAGGAGGAGGAGAAGGAAGAGGAAGAGAGGAGGAGGAGGGAGGAGGGAGGAGGAGGAGGAGGAAGAGAGAGGAGGGGGAGGAGGGAGGGGGGAGAAGGGAGGGGGAGAAGGAGGAGGGAGAAGGAGGAGGAGGAGGAGGAGGAGGAGGAGGAGGGAGGAAGGAGGGGTAGGAGAGGGAGGCAGGCGGGCAGGAGATGGGCGCGCGGCGCGGCGGAGAGGCGAGAGGAGACAAAGGGTCCCATGCCGGAGGGGGGCTGGGGGACTGAGCTGTCCCGCGACTCTGGGTCCCACAGCACCTCGTGCGTTTGGAGTCCCGAAACGGTGCGGTGACAGACCGTGCGGTGACCTCAAAATCCCCCAAGACCTCACCGCACGGTCCGTCACCGCACGGTCTTGGGACCCCGGAGGCCCCTGTCGCCCGAGACATCCTCGGAGAACGACCCGAGTCCCAAAACCGTGCGGTGACCCAAAATCCCCAACAACTCACCGCACGGTGTGGTCACCACCCCGTTTGGGGGCCCCTGAGAGCGCCTGTGCTCAGTTCCATCCGGAGCAGGATTGGTCAGCATCGGAGCGAAACATCTGGTCGAATCGGCATGCGTGTGGGATCGGGCTGCATCGGCACGGCATCGAAATCGGATCGGATCGGCTGCGCCAATCTGCACATTAGCGCCATGCAAGCATCGGGTCGCCTCGGATTGTATGCATAGAATCGAATCAGATCGGCCTGGCCGAATCGATATCGAATCGGACCGATCGGATCGAAATGAACTCTACCTGGAGGGGGAGAGCCGGGATGCGCCCCTCCATTAGAAAAAACACTGGGCCAAAAGGTGGCGATTGTCGTCACCTCCCAAGAGAAGTGCGCGGCTTCCACGAGCTGCTGGCATTGAACTACGAATGTTCTGGATAGACAGTGGGAGCAGCGCCAATCGGCGATCTCTGGGAGAATTTCCATGCCTTTTAGCACAAGCCGTTCGGCAAAATCCGTGAAACCAAAAAACCAAGATGCTAGTCATTGCGCGTTCGCTTATCAGTGGAATGAGGTCAGGTTCGCTGGCTGACGTACCCGTTGCGCCAAGATGCCGATGCCGCCAGCAGACAAAGAAGACAATGACGACGGCGGCGATGACAGCATCGATGCTGACACTGAGGATGAAGCCAATGAGGGCAACGACGATAAACATTACTGCTGCCACATCTGCGGAGTGCCAGTCTGGGGCTGCTGGCGGCTGGCGGCAGTCGGACGCGAGCAGTCGAGGCCGACTGGCCCAGTCCTGGGCCAAGATCGTTGCGATCTTCTCCGTGCGGGCCAGGATGTCGTCGAGGTTGGGTGGCGCCTCTGCTCCAGGTGTTGCACTCCCCGGACGCTCAGGCGGCAGATCGCGGCACGGCCAAGCGAGGACGAGAGACAGAGATTAGGGAAGCGAGAAAACTACAAACCGAATTCGCATGAGCAGTTTCTATTCTGCGTAACAATCCTGTGAGGAAGAGTTGTATGCCCGAAGTGATCCAAAAAGGATGGTGGCCTTTAAGAGAAGCAAAGCACGTCGGAGGTTCGTTGGCAGAGGTGCGATGGAAAACGCATGAACATTCTGACTCATCGCCAGCCACGGAAACAGCGGGACGCGGGCCATCACATGATCTGCGAGATCCCGGGCGTATGTCACATGAGCCAACAATCGCGGTGTCAGTTCAGACTGGGCCACATCGATAGGTTCTGTTCAGCATCAATGCGCGCCCATGTTCGCAATGGAAATTTTGTTGTTGTCCACGGGCGTCCGGGTCACGACAGAAGGAGGATGCCCTCGAGCAAATTCCGACTGTGACTCTCGGCGATCCGCCCCAGGGTTGGAGAGCCCCGCGCGATGGCGCAGAGCCTGTTTGCCCTTGGGCTTGCAGGGAGTGAAATTCAACCTGAGTTATGCCTACAATCCACCCCTCGCAAGGTGGTCAAGGGCTTTCTTGTGCAATAGCAGACGAGGCATCTACGTGTCCGCAGACACAGAGAGCCAGTGTCAAAACTACTCCCTGCGGTGGCACCCTGTTTGCAATCGAAACACCAGGAAGCTACACTACGCTGTCGTAAACCCGCCATAATGACATCTGTGCCGAGTGCCATCACTGTTCCTGCATGTCTCACCGTATACGTGGGCACGACGACAGGACGCCGAAAGAAACGGTGAAGTTAAGACACATGTACTGCCTGGAAACAGTGGGGGGGTTTACGAGGCCACAGAACACGTCAACTAAAACCAGATGACTCAAGTAGGGGATCGACTCCAGAAGTGATGTACCCCAGAATTGTTGTTTCGCCGAACATACGAACAACTACGTAAAATATTACGTAGATATGCGGAGCACTCTACGCATTTATCGCAGATCCGATGGAACAAGTTTGAGGTACATCAATTCTGTAGTCGATCCCCGACTCGAATGACAGGCCCTGGAGGTCGCAATCAAGGCAAACCGCCGAATGAACAAACAGCACATCGTCGGAGGTCTGGGGTGGCAGTGGGCCCCACCTCCTCCATGGTCTCTGTGGTCAGCTCCTGGTTGTGGAGATCCACGGGGGAAACGGTGCGCCGCTCCTGCGCTCGGAAGAGGTAACTCAAGTAGGTCTTCAGACCCCCCCCCCATAGCGGAAAACTACTCATCTTTCCGGCGACCTTATTGATGGACTGGGGTCCTCCAATAGTGGTGGAAAATAATTATGTCTCCGTGGCACCCGCCACACAACAACAACAACGACGACGACGACGACGACAACCGTTACGATTACAATTACGACTACGACTACGACTGCGACTAAGACTACGATTACGACTACAACCACGACTACGATTACGACTACAATCACTGCTAGAATCACGATTACCATAACGATTACAGCCACGACTACAATCACGACTACAACCACAACCATGACAAGTAGTTCGAGACCGCGACTACTATTACGATTACGACTACGACTACAGCTACGACTAAACTTGCGAATCAAAACTATGTAAATTCCTATTGTAAGTATCAGCGGAAGATGTTCACAAATCCTCTCGCGTGTAAGGTAACCCACAATGGAGTATTCCATGGGAGACAAAACCCTCCAACAGTATCCACCCCACCCAACAATACCGAGAACATGATCTCCGCCGCGACGGCGACGACGACGAGGGGCGAGTTCTCCCTGCCGAGAGGAACAGGGGGGAGCAAAAGCCAGAAAAACCCTGAGGTTATGGGCTCAGTCAATCACACCAGCCCTGCAGGGCGTAGGTGGTTTCCCGAGATCGTTACTCCGACCCCCCGGGCCCTGGCACACGCGGCGCATCTCGCGCGAGTCGCGCACCCCGCAGGCGTCGCGCACCCGGAGAGGGCGTCCGCACCGCTTCCCCCAGGGATTGCCCACCGGCGCCCTTGCCTGGGCTGCGCCTCGGGGTGCCGCTTGCGTGGCGGGAGGCTGGGGTGGGACTTGAGCGAGACGGCCGTCCCTCGGAGGGGGCAGCTGGATCACCGCTCCTTCCGACATGTACACCCCCTCCCCCACCTGACAGACGACAAACCAGGGCAAATGACGACGCCCGCCCGCCATCCCTGCCAAAAAAGCAATACAAGATACAATGCGTGGCAAAATCATGAACCATGCGCGGGAACCCCGCGATCACTGCGTGCTACTCTTTGAAAAGGATGGCGCGGGTGCTGGCCTTTTGTCTGGTGTGTGCGGGTTCCATTTCCCGGTCAAAATACAGCATACACTTGTCAGAGTGAGGGGGCCGAACGGTCATTCATTGTCCCTGGGTGCGTGGCTGACATGGGGATCCGTGGTGAGGATTTAGCTTGTTGCGGTATTGCGCTGTTGTTATCTATTGTCGTCGTCCCACCCCGCGACCCACCCGGCGATCCACCCCGCTACCCAACCGCGACAAACCGCGCGACCCATTTGCGACCCACCCAGCGACCCACCCGCGACCCACCCACGACCCAGCCGCGACCCAGCCGCGACCCATTTGCGACCCACCCGCGACCCATCCGCGACCTACCAACATTGGTTTCGCGAAAAAATCGGCGCCTGCGGCGGGCTCGTTCTATAATTTGTGAAACTTTGGCGGCTGCGGCGGGCCACTCCAGGAGTCTCGCAGACTGCCAGCGTCCCCACCGCCCCCTCACTATTATCCGAATATGCGGGGTGCTACGTAGCGAAATACTGGACCATGCTAGGACCCCCCGCGATCTCATTGTGCTGCTGCTTGAAAGGGGTGGCACGGGTGCTGGCATGTTGTCTGGCATTTGCAAGCCCACTCGATCAAAAAAATGCAAAATACGTAGCACCCCTCTGATGCGGTTAAGAGTAAGGGGGCGGTGGGGGACGTCGGCAATCTGCGAGACTCTGGAGAAGCCCGCCGCAGGCGCCAAAGTTTCACAAACTATGCAACGAGCCCGCCGCAGGCGCCGATTGTTGGTAGGTCGCGGATGGGTCGCGGGTGGGTCGCAACTGGGTCGCGGATGGGTCGCGGGTGGGTCGCGGGTGGGTCGCGGGCGGGTCGCGACTGGGTCGCGGGGTGGGTCGCGGCTGGGTCGCGGGGTGGGTCGCCGGTGGGTCGCGGGTGGGTCGCGGCTGGGTCGCGGGTGGGTCGCGGGCGGGTCGCTGTTGGCTCGCGGGTGAGTCGCGGATGGGGCGCGGGTTGGGTCGCGGGTGGGTCGCAAGTGGGTCGCGGGTGGGTCGCGGGTGGGTCGCGGATGGGTCGCGGGGTGGGTCGCGGGTGGGTCGCGGGCGGGACGACGACAGCAAACAACAACAACAACAACAACAACAACAACAACAACAACAACAACAACAACAACAAAAACAAAAACAAAAACAACAACAACAACAACAAGCACAACAACAACAACAACAACAACAACAACAACAACAACAACAACAAAAGAAAGGCGTGCACTCCGGCCCCGGTCAGGGCCGCACATCCGGTGTCACTCCGCCGGTGGACGGGCGCACACTCCGGCCCCGTGGGTCTGCTGGCCTGAGACGCTGTGTGACGACGACTTCTCCGGCCCTGCGGGAGGCCATCTGCGGCGGTTTCGCGCCTCGGTGGGCAAACGTACACTCTGGCCCCGTATGCCCCGTCATCTGTGCTGTTCCCTCCACAGAAAACGCTCCCCGTGCGCTACCCCTTCCCAGGCCCCGCGTGCAGCTAAGACACCCTCAGGGACCCTCACGACGACGACGACGACGACGACGACGACGACGACGACGACGACGACGACGGGGATCCTGAGGAGTCCTCGGGAGCCCTGAGGAGTCCTGAGGAGTCCTTATGAATCCTTGGGGGCCCTGAAGAATTCTGAAATATCCCAAGGTTGAAGCAGATTGGGATCTGGGAATTTAAACATACCTGCCTTCAGCGACCGGCGTGCACGGGGAGCGTCAAGAGCTGTGGCCGAAGCTCGTCGGAACACCCTCGCAGCTTCGGCGATGGCGACGAGGAGGCGACGGTGCAGTGCGATGTCGGGCGGAGGGCCCGGAGGGCGGGCTCCACTTCCTGCTGCCCTGCAGCATGCTGACATGAATCACAACTGGCTGACAGAATGGCAGTGGCATTCGTGGCTAGCCCATGAGGGCGTATGGGCAGTAAGGTTCCCTCACGAGGGACAGGCGAAGAAGCGAGGGAGAGGGGGAGAGATCGATACACATATAGATATATAGAGAGAGCGAGAAACAACATTATCCTGGCGAAAGACCCAACCATATGCAGTTGTGAGTAACGCGTTGTGGGTGCCGCTTTCGGTGGAGCTCCCTATGGAACCACGAAGCGCGTGAAAGACGTGCCGTTATGGGTGGGGGAGACGCATGCGGGCGGTGCCACTGAGACCTTCGGTGGGGCTCCCTATGGGCCACGAAACGCTGTCCTGGGTGTGGCTGATGCATGCGAGCGGTGCCCCTCGCTGGAGCTCCCGTTGAGGCCACGGAGCGTTGTAATGGTTGGAGGAAACGCATTCGGGCGGTGCCGCTGGGGTCTGTGGGGCTCCCTACGGGGCCACGAAACGCTGCACTGGGGGGTGGTGGCCGACGCATGCGGGCGGTGCCACTGGAACCTTCGGTGGAGCTCCCCATGGGGCCACGGGGGGGGGGGCACGCATGCGGGCGGTGCCACTGGGGCCGCAGGTGGAGCTCCCTATGGGCCCACGAAACGCTGCACTGGGTGGGGGGTCGCATGCGGGCCGGCCACTGGAGCTCCCGACGGGGCCACGAAACGCTGTACTGGGATGGGGGGACATATGCGAGCGGTACCACTGGGGTCTGTCTGTGGAACTCCCTATGGGGCCACGAAGTGCTGTACTGGGTGTGGCGGACGCATGTGGCCACCCCCACTGGGGCCGCAGGTGGAGCTCCCTATGGGGCCACGAAGCGCTGTACTGGATGTGGCGGACGCGTTTGGCCACCCCCTCTGGGGCCTTGGTGGAGCTCCCTATGGGGCCACGAAACGCTGTACTGGGTGTGGTGGACGCATTTGGCCACTCCCACTGGGGCCTTGGTGGAGCTCCCTATGGGGCCACGAAGCGCTGTACTGGGTGTGGCGGACGCATGTGGCCACCCCAACTGGGGCCTTGGGTGGAGCTCCCTGTGGAGCCACGAAGCGCTGTACTGGGTGTGGCGGACGCATGTGGCCACCCCCACTGTGGTCGCAGGTGGAGCTCCCTATGGGGCAACGAAACGCTGTACTGGGTGTGGCGGACGCGCGTGGCCACCCCCACTGGGGCCGCAGGTGGAGCTCCCTATGGGGCCACGAAGCGCTGTACTGGATGTGGCGGACGCATTTGGCCACCCCCACTAGGGCCTTGGGAGGAGCTCCCTATGGGGCCACGAAGCGCCGTACTGAGTGTGGCGGACGCATGTGGCCACCCTCACTGGGGCCTTGGTGGAGCTCCCTATGGGGCCACGGAACGTTGTACTGGGTGTGGCGGACGCGCGTGGCCACCTCCACTGTGGTCGCAGGTGGAGCTCCCTATGGGGCCACGAAGCGATGTACCGGGTTGCGGGGAAGCAAGCGGTGCCAGTGGGGCCGCAGATGGGCTCTCTATAGGCCCACGAAACGCTGTACTAGGTGTGGCGGACGCATTTGGCCACCCCCACTGGGGCCGCAGGTGGAGCTCCCTATGGGGCCACGAAACGTTGTACTGGGTGTGGCGGACGCGTGTGGACACCCTCACTGGGGCCTTGGGTGGAGCTCCCTATGGGGCCACGAAGCGATGTACTGGGTGGCGGACGCATGTGGCCACCCCAACTGGGGCCTTGGTGGAGCTCCCTTTGGGCCACGAAACGCCGTGCTGAGTGTGGCGGACGCATGTGGCCACCCCCACTGGGGTCTTGGGTGGAGCTCCCTATGGGGCTAAATGCTGTACTGGGTGTGGCGGACGCATGTGGCCACCCCCACTGGGTCCTTGGGTGGAGCTCCCTATGGGGCCATGAAACGCTGTGCTGGGTGTGATGGTGATCATGATGATGTTGCGGATGATGATGATGATGATGATGATGATGATGATGATGATGATGATGATGATGATGATGATGAAGAAGATGATGATGATGATGATGAAGATGATGATGATGATGATGATGATGATGATGATGATGATGATGATGATGATGATGGTGGTGATGGTGATGATGATGCTGATGATGCTGATGCTGATGATGATGATGGTGATGATGACGATGACGATGACGATGACGATGACGATGACGATGACGATGACGATGATGATGATGATGATGATGATGATGATAATGATGATGATGATGCTAGTGGTGATGATGATGATGATGATGAGGATGAGAATGATGAGGAGGAGGAGGATGATGAGACGAGGAGGGAGGAGGGGGGAGGGGAGGAGTGACGCGGGGCGCGGTCTCTTCAAGAACGAGGACCCAACACCACAGGATCGTTGGGAAAAACGACAATCGACGCAGAGTCAGAATGCAACGCGCCGAAACCATACCAAGACATGTGGATCGACTGGTCCCCGTGGGCACGCCCTAATACGTGCCGAAACGGCTCCATACCCGTCCTCTTCCTCCTCATCCTCCTCGTCGTCACTCAGCATCACCATCATCATATCATCGTCATCCTCCTCTTCATCATCATCACCCGCATCATCATCAGCATATTCATCATACTCATCATCAGCATCGTCATGATCGGCAACATCATCACCATCATCATAATCCGCACCACCATCACCACCATCATAATCATCACCGTCATCATCGTCATCATCACCGTCATCATCATCGTCGCCATCATGATCATCATCATCAGCATCATCAGCATCATCAGCAGCAGCGCCATCATCATCACCATCACCATGTCCATCATGATCACCACCACAATCATCATCGTCGTCATCCTCATCACCATCTTCATCAGCATCCTCATGTTTCCCATCCTTACCACCACAGCATCCAGACTCATCATCATCACCACTATCATGTTCATCATAATCACCACCACCATCATCAGCATCATCAACATCAACATCATCATCAGCATCATCACCATCATCATCTACCAGCACCAGCATCCTCATCGTCATCACCATCATCACCATCACCATCCCCAACGCCAGCACCATCACCACCATCATCATAGCCACCACCCTCATCAGCAGCATCATAAAATCGCCAACACCCTGGTCCTCCTCATCTTCCTTATAATCGTCATCCTCCTCATCTTTCTCAAACGCCTACTCATCCTACTCCTCCTCAGCTTCGGCATCTTGGTCATCACCGTCCTCCTCCTTCTCGTCATCATCACCATAGTCACCACCACCAACACCACCATCGCCAGCACCATCACCATCACCGTCACCATCATCATCATCATCATCATCATCATCATCATCATCATCAGCATCATTATAATCACATAATCATAATCACCATCACCACCACCATCAACAGCTCATGTTCGTTATCATCATGGACATCATCATCAGCATCAGCAGCATCATCAGCATCAACATCATCGTCATCATCAGCAGCATCACCTGCACCAACAACATCAACATCAACATCGTCAACAGCACCATCATCGTCGTCGTCGCCGTGCCTGCTCCCCCAAAGACTTCCTCTCTTCGTATCATTTCCTTTTCCCCCATTTCTATTTCTGTTTAGGGATACATTTGCCTCCATCGGCCCCGTAGGCGCTGGCGCAGGCCGCGCAAAACTGGCGCAGAGGTCCCTCTCAATACACCTCACGATCAGGTGCCCTCCGCCTGAAGGCATCCTGACGGAGGTGGCCCCTTGAGGCCTTCTGGGCGCTCGACACCGCTGTGTGCAAGTCTTGGTCGACAGGGACCACCTGCAGGGCTGACTCTGGGGGGTGGGGGGGGAACGGACGGGGCACCAAGTTCGCCCCGCCTGCTGGACCGTACTGTTAAGTCAAGGATATCCTCCTGCAAGCGGATTTTGTACGGAAATTCGCCGGCCCAACGGGCCAGAGGCGTGCTAAGATCTCGGGCAACTGCTTTACAGTCATTCTACTCAGCGCACGCGGGGCGGCCCCTGGGGGTCCCCAGAAGAAAAGAACCCCGGGCAGAGCCCGGGCGCTGCGGAGCAGTTTTCCTCTTGGGCGCCGCCCTCGAGGCCGTCCAGAGAGCCCTAAGAAAGGCCAAGAGGCCCGCCAAGAGCCCCTCAAGATGATACAAGAGAGCTTCGAGATGCTCCAAGACGCACAAGATGCCCCCAGACGGCCCAACACGCCTCCCAGAGCACTCTCAAGGGGGCCCAAGAGGCAAAATTCATTATTGTTGTCCCTAGGTGTTGGAAAGATTTGGGCGTTTCCACATGTTCGGCTCCCCGACACCCCAAGACGGCCCAAGAGGCTCCCAAGACCTCCCCAAGACGGCCCAAGAGGCCCCCAAAAGGGCTCGAAGACGGCCCGAGAGGGCTCCGAAACCCAAGAGGCTTCCAAGACGGCCCACGAAGGCCCCAAGAACGCCCCAAGAGAGGTCACAGGGGGGGGAACACGAATCAACATTTCGAGCTCTCGGCCCTAAGAAGGCCCCAGGAGTCCCCAGGAGGCCCCTAAGAGACCCCACGACGCACCGAACAGGCCCCCAGGAGGCCCCCAAGCGGTCCGACGAGAGCCCCAAGAGGCAAAATTAGCTGTTCTCCCTTAGGCTTTGGAAAGAATTTAGCGTTTCCACGTTTTCGGCTTCCCGACACCCCAAGACGGCCCAAGAGGCTCCCAAGACCGCCCCAAGAGGGCACAAGAGGCCCCCAAGAGGGCCCCAAGACGGCCTAAGAGGGCTCCGAAACGGCCCAAGAGACCTCCAACAGAGCTCTCGGCACTAAGAAGGCCCCAGGAGTCCCCAAGACCCCCTAAGAGACCCCAAGACGCCCCCAACAGGCCCACAAGGGGCCCACAAGAGGCCCGCAAGCGGCCCCAGGAGGCTCCCCCAATGCCCCCCCGAGCACGAAAGCAAGTGCCAACGACCCCACGCGTGTAAGAGTCCCCAAAAGGCCACCGAGAGGCCTCCCGAAAGAGTCCCTATAAGCAAAACGCTTCCAGGCGGTCCGCGCGCGACGCGATCAAGACTCCCCCAGCGGCCACCAAGAAACCTCCTGAGAGAGCCCCCGCTCCAAACAAATCCCCACGAAGCTGCTCCACAGGAGCTGCTTCACCCCTCACATGCCGAACGCAAACCCTGATATAAAAAGACAAAAAAAAACCTGCCGCCCCTGCAGTTCCGCACCGCGAAAGACCACTCGGTCAGTCAACAACAGCGCGCAAGTATGGGCTGGCGGAATGAGCGCAGCGATTCAATCAAAAATGCCAGACGAACACTCAAAAGGATCTCAAACTACTAGCAAACTCGTTCCCATATTGCTTGTTTGAGTTACTCTTGCACACTCCTCCCGTAGAAAGACGGGCCCGACTGAAAGCGCAGCGCCGCGGGGCGGAGCCGGAGAGGCGCGGCGAGAGGCGAGGGCGCGCCTGCGCGGGAGCCCGCGGGGCCCCGGGCACCATGGGCAGGGCCTCCAGCGCAACCGCCGAGGCCGAGGGAGGCCGCGGGCCCCCGGGCACCATGGGCAGGGCCTGCAGCGCCACCGCCGGGGCCGCCTGGTGGGCGGCCGCGCCGAGCCCCCCCCCGTCGGCCGCCGCGCTCTCCGAGCCCCAGGCCCCTCGCCAGAGGCGCGCACCGCCACCCCTCGGCCTGCAGTCAACACGCCTCGTTGAAGGGGCCCTGGCACACACAAATGAATGCACACAAATAACCGGGTTCCCCATGTTTTCCGATATCTTCTGGGTGTTTGTCTTTCCCCCCACTTCCCATTTTGTCCTGTATTTTCTGGGGAATCGCCGATGAATTGTGTCTGTGTGTTTTTTCCCCTCCTGAATCGTAAGGATGCGCGCGGCACGGATGCCAGGGCCTCGGAAGGCCATGCTGACGTTCTTCGCGTGGGGCTGGCCAGCGAAAGTTGCCGAGGATGGGCCCGAGGAGCAGAGATGCGAGGGCAGCCTTGGAGAACTCGCTCATCCTTACTCTGCGGGTTGACTGTACCTGCTGCGCTGGCCCAAACCCCTGGTCCGTGTCTGCCACTCGGTGTACATACCCCAACCCGCTCCTCCCCCGCCATCGCTCTCCCCGTGAGGAAGGCAATACAGGCATTACCAGGACAACTCCCTCGATGTCAGGCTGCAGCAGCGGCTGGCCACGGGACATCCATCGGCAACGACGGTCTTCATAGCACGTCGAAGGCGCACAAACACGCACACACAACCTGCAACATGGCATGAACATGTAATTCAGACCTTCCGCCAACTGGAAGACCCGCGGGGCGGGACTGGGAGATCCGACGTCACGGAAGAAATCCAACATCATAAACAAACACTCGACCAGAACTCTAAACCCAATATGTCTGCTGCGTTTTTCGAGCCGGATCGATCTGTGATGGCCCTGGGCCCGAAACCGGGCGACAACGCCCAGTGTGAACAAAAAAACGCCAGCCTCAGCGACGCCCTCCTGTCCCCCCACCCCTGGGCCCCACCGTCCTCTCAGAGGCCGCCTGGGGTGTCCCTGGGGAGGGCGTCGTCCTCGTCCTCGTCCTCGTCCTCGTCCTCGTCCTCGTCGTCGTCGTCGTCGTCGTCGTCATCTCAGGCTGGGCAGGCACACATCGGGGGTGACTCAACGTGCCCCTGTCCCACGCTGCCCCCCGCTTGCCGCTCAATTCTGGAGCCCCTGGGGCCCGCTGCGCCTCGAGAGGGGTGCCCCGGAGGCCCGTTGGGGGCCTCCGTGGACAGTCCTGGGGACGCCGTGGCTTCCAGCAGCACCCGGACCCGAACGGGCACCCGCCCGGCAGTTCGGTGCACCGCTTCGCCACGCGTGCGGCGGGGAGTGGGCAGCAACGCTGTGGCATCCACTCCCCGCATGCTGTCACGTGCTGCCGCGTGCTACTGGCTCGCAGCAGACGTCGAGGGGACACCACACGGTGCGCTGCGCCAGCACGAAGGACGCAACACTCAGCCATGAACACGCCGGTCGGGAGAAGGAGGTAAAAACATGAAGTGGGAAGGCGAAATAAGTACATTGGGTTCAGGCCCCCCCAGAAAACAAAACAAAAACACAGCGCAACACCATATCAGTTCTTGCAGTAGGAAGGCGGCTGACGAGGAGTGGGATCTGGGAGCCCAAAAATACCTGCTTTCAACAAACCAGCGCGCACTGGTTTACAGTCGGGGCGTTGACCTGAGGAACTCTAAATAAGGAACGAGGCCCCTTTGTTCCACAAGTGAAACTTCGATGTCCCATCGAACACACCAGGAACACCTGAGGCAAGTCGTGAAACAATTAAGGAACACGCAGCCCCTCCCCAACGTAAAGGGTTCCTTCTTCAGCGACCCGACGGTACGCACTGGCCCAGAGCAGCAGGCATCAGCCGCGATCGGGGGGCCCCGCCTCGGGGATCCCGGGCACCAGCGGCAGAGCCTCCAGGGCCACCGCGGGGGGCGCCTGCGGGCGGCCGCGCCCCCCCCCCCTTCGGGCGCTCGCCCGCCCGGCCGGGGCCCCGCTCGGCCGAGCCCTTCGGCACGGCGCGGCTGGCGCCACGGCCTCCGACGCGGGCCGCGCGGCACCGGTGGAGCTGGGCGGGGTCGGACACACGAGCGGCTTTTGCGCAGGAAGAAATACTCACCTTACGCGGCGGCTGACGCGGGCCGCCAGCGCGGCACGCCACACTGGAGACGAGGGCTCTTACGCGGGCGGCTTACGCGGGCAGCTGACGCGCCACCGTCAGACGATGACAAAACTGGACCAGCAAACAAACGACATCACCCCACCGACAGCCCCACGGCTCGTAGCGTATACCAGGACATCCGGCGTGGGCTTTTGCGTGGTATACGCTGCGGCCCCCGATGGGCCGTGGCGCAACATGGAGGGCCGTAGGTGGGTGGTGTCGTGTTTTGTTTTTTTTTCTGACCGGAAGCAATTTTCTCCGTCGCCCAAATGGATATGACACGCGTCCTGAGGATCATCGGGCAAGCGGAGGCGCGAGCAGAAATCTGAGTCACGGAAGGCCACGCCACGCGCCCTTCACGAGCGACGAACTCAAGAGGCAACTCCTGGGAGGTCTTCGTTCGAACGATTAGCTATCAATCCCCGATTACTGGGGCACTCATCCAGACAAGCCCGGATGAAACCCAGGATTGGGTCACATTAAACCAGATGGCGCGGGAATTAACCTGATTAAGCGGGATAGCACTTGATTGGGCAATTTGTTGACCACGGATATACCAAGGCCAGCGCCGAATTGAACCACGCAGGAGTTGTATCCTGAAAGGCCCGTGCACTCCACGAGTGAAGGAAATGACCATACCCATGCCCTCGCAATTCGGACACCGAAACATCATCCGATGTTTGAATCGCGACGGCAAAGACGATCCGCACGCGCGCTGCGTCGCAACGCGGCAAAGGCGATCCGCACGCGCGCTCTAGTTGGCCGAAAGCGGGCGATCTCAGTCCGGCTGCAAGAAGAGAGAAGGAGGCGGAGGGCGGCCGCGGAAGGCGGGTGAAAGCGGGAGGGTGCTCACTGCACGAAGACCTTCGCCAGGGGTGGCCAATGCGGCCAGCCTGTGCTGAGGCAGCCTGGCAGTGGACGCGGAGCGGCATCACGGCATCACGGCCACACCCGAGGCAGCATCCCCCGCAGATGCGCGATCCAACGGATGCGCTCCTGGCGGGGCCCCCGCGAACAAGAAACGCCCCGTATCTGCGGGGTCGCGGCCAGGAGGAGTCCGGGCCGCCGGTCCGCGGGCCGCCCACGAACCGTGGCCCGCTGAGGTTTCCATACAGCGCCTCCACTCACAGAAGCATCTTGAAGAACCGCAAGCCAGAATCGGAGGCCGCAGGCTGACACGGAAAAAACCGGAGGCCCCCGACCAGCATCGAGCTCGATTCCATCCGTGTCGCGCACGCGGCACGCCAAGGTCGGGCAAGGTCCCGTGGCTGTCCCGTGGTTGTCCCGTGGTTGGCCTGCTGTTATCCCGCGGGTGTCCCGTAGTTGCCCCGTCTTGTCCTGTGGTTGCCCCGCCCGTTTCGGTTCCAACAGGGGTCCAACACTGGCCAAGAGACCGCCACGAGCCCATCCAGACGGTCCAAAGGTGCTCCGAATCGCTACGCGATCGGTCCAAGGCGCTCACTGTGGCCTGGAAGCCTTCGAAACGCCCTAAACCTGCCCGAGACTTCTTCAATTCCCAACCGTGCTGTCGTGTAGGGCCATCGTTTTGGAAAGACAGCGCCCCGCACGATTGCCTTCCTTTTTCCCCCCCCCTCCTCCTTCCGCCCCTGCGCGCCCCTGCTCTTCGCATCGGTTCTACAAATGTCGGCACGCCCTTCAGACGTTTCGCGCTCCCTAACGGAGCTCCACTGAAGGGCCCAATGGCGGCGTTCGCATGCGTCCCCGCACCCGAATCGGGACACCCCTCACACGCTTCGTGGCCCCATAAAGGGGCCCCGCCGAACGCCCCAGAGGCGACGTTCGCGTGCATTCCCGCGCCCGATTCAGGACACCCCTCGCACGTTTCGCGGCCCCGTTGGGAGCTCCACCCAAGGCCCCAGCGGCGGTGTTCGCACGCGTCCTCGCACTGGATTCGGCGCGCCCCTCGCGCGCTTCGTGGCCCCATAGGGAGCTCCACCGAACGCCCCAATGGCGGTGTTCGCGCGCGCCCCCGCCGCCAATTTCGGCGCGCCCCGCAGCCGCTTCGCGGCCCCATAAGGAGCTCCACCGAAGGCCCCGGAGGCGACGTTCGCACGCGGTTCCCCCACCCAATGCACCGCTGCATGGCCCCAGAGGGAGCTCCGCCGAAAACTTCGGATGCGACGCTTGCACGCTGCGTTTCCCCCGCAGCGCCTCAAGGCCCCACGGGGGGCTCCGCCGAGGGCCCCCGGGCCGACGCCGCCGAATGCGCCCCCCCCGCTCAGCACCGCGCTCCGCGGCCCCATAGGGAGCCCCACCGAAGGCCCAAGTGGCGGCCCTCGCACGCGCTGCCCCCGCCCAGTACGCTGTTTCGCGGCCCTCTGGGAAGCTCCACCGAGGGCCACTGCGGCCGCGGCCGCGTGCGTTTCTCCCACCCAGCACGGCGCTCCGCAGCCCCATGGGGAGCTCCACCGAAGACCCCAGTGGCCGCGGCCGCACTCACCTCCCCCGCCCATCACGGCAAACCCTGAACACGCTTCGCGGCCTCATAAGGAGCTCCACCGAACAACGCGGTGCTCACAACTGCATATGTTCGGGTCATTCGCCTGGATCATGTTTACTACTTTCTCAACATTCCGAGCTTCTGACGCTCCAAGATGCCCCGAGAGGCCCCGAGGACCGTCCAAAGACGGACGGCCACAGTGGCCCCCAAGAGACCCCCACGGCGGCGGGGGGGGCCAAGACGGCCCCAACCAAGAGGGGCAGCCCGAACCAACAGCTCGCGCCGCCCATCCCAAGACGCTCCCAGGAAGCCCCAAAGAGACCCCCAAGAGGCAACAAGAAGCCCCCCGGAGGCCCCCAAGACGCCGCAAGAGGCTCCAAAAACGGCACCCGAGAGGCATCAGCACTGCCTCCACGAGGCCCTCGAGAAGCCACCTGCGACATCACAAGGAGCACCCGCGAGGCCTATGACCCACAACCAAGCGCGGTGACGGGGTGGGCCGAAGGCCGCGAGACCTGGGCCAGCGCGGAAGCGGAAAGAGGGCCGCGGGAACTTGCTCGAGAAGGCCCATGGCACCCTTCGCTCTCGGGTGTCTTGGCGTTCAGAGCTCGCCGCGTCACCGCCCTCCGCCGGGCGCCCCAGTGCAGACTTTTAGGTCGCCGCCCGCGCTTGGGGGCCTTGCTTCCCGGCGCTTTTTGCGCCGCCGCGCTCTGGGGGGCCCAGCTGTCCAGAGATTGCGTCAGCGCTCGCTGTGGGGAACCATGGTGTTCCCTGGCGTCTCTAGAGCGTCTTGGATGTCCTTCGGCGGCCCTTCTGGGCCGTCTTGGGGCTCTTGGACCAGCTCGGGGCCGAACGCTTCAAGTCCCAAGATTCAGCGCGCCCAAGGCTTCCAATCCAGCAAATCCACCGGGGCGCCCCATAAAAGCTCGGAAAGACCGAGCGAGCCCCTTCAGGAATAACATTAGCAAACGCACAACACACCGGGGCAAGTTGAACGACCTGTTTAGCTCCACTCTGGCGGGCGCGGCGTCGAGCGAGCCGAACACACGCGCAATGCAGCCCGGGCCACCACAGCCTGCAACAACATCCGACAGGGGCCAGGCTCTCCAGCGCCCCGCACGTTGCACAACTTCGACTGCCAGGGGGGCGTAAGACCCGGGCACAGGGGACTCGGAAATCCCCGACGAGGTCGTCAAACAAATGACGAGGCCGAGCCCGCATTTTGACGAGGCCTCCCGCTGCAGACATCCCACGAAACTCCTACTCGTCAAAATTCGAGCCGCGGTCGTCAAAAAACGATGGCGAACCCGAGACTGGAAGGCGCGGGCCGTCGGCTCGGGATCGACCGGCAGGCGCGCAGTCGCGGTGCTCCGCTAGCGACAAATCCGACACTTTCCTTGCGCTTCTGCCAAGTTTCGAGCGAGATGTGGATGGGCGGGGAGGGGGGGGGAGCGGGGCTGCCCACGGCGCGGCCACTGCCCCTGGGGGTGGCGAGGGCCCCGACGGCCTCGGCAGGGGCGACGGGCCCCTCTGCTTCGGCGGGCTGCATTATGGCGGACGCGGCCACCCTGCACTGGAAGTCCGCCCCGCCGGCCCACGGGTCTGGCACCTCCCCCAAACCGCCGCCTGCACCCAAGTTAAATGCGTCCGCGGGGCCTCCCCCGAGACGATTTTAGCCAGAGACGGAGACTGGGCCTCGGCCTGAGATCGAGCCCCAGGGGCCTGCTTGTCCAAGAGGCCCCAAAACAACTGACCCACGGGCTTCGCGGAATGTAAAAAAGCTAACGCCCTAGCCTCTCGCCTCTCACGAATGGCCCGCCGGGACTGACCGTTAGCCCGGGACGGAGCGCCCAGGCGGGGCGCTCGCGGGAGCTTGCGCGGCACCTGCTGAGCCCCGGTGAGAAGCCGTATCCCCTCGCCCCGCAAGTGACCGCGGATGGGGCAGCGCCCCCCCCCCCCCCCCCCGCACCACCACCACCACCACCGCGCGCGCACGCGCGCACGCACGCAGCCGCGCATACACACACACACGCACACACACAAACACACACACACACACACACACACACACACACACACACAAGCGCGGAACGTCTCAAAATGCCCCCACTCGCTCAGTGCACGAAAAGGCAGCTCGACTCGCTAATACATCGCCCATGCGGGACGCACCCGCGCCCGCGACACACGCGCGCTCAACGCCTGTCTGAGAAACGAGTCCTTGGACACGCCCAGCGTCACATTTCCTGGCTAGGGCAGAAGGCGAAACATTAAAGTCGCCAGTGTTTAACCAGGGAAGCCGAAGCGACTGCACGGAATCTCCTAGACGAACGAGCTGGAACGCGCCGTCACCTATAACGCCTCCACGCCATAACACACTACGATGACGACTACATACCCTTTGAAGTGGACAGCTGCGGGAAGAAGATTGTCGAGCGCATCGCAATCTGCGGCGCGCAGAGGACTGAACTCGCAGGGTTCCACGACCCTATGCGACGACAGGCGACCTTGTGCGAAGAACGCTCCTCTCCCTCATTCGAGCGTAGGTTGGGGGAATCGGCTGTAGGACGAGCTGCATTGAAAAGGCTCGAGCTTACTCTTGCGAGCTTCCTTGGTCCAGTGCTTCTCTCGACTGGCTGAGACATGGGATTCAGCGATGGCTAAGTACTCGCAGCTAGCCAACACCGCTGAAGGAGACAAGAACTGCCAGGCAAGAGGACCAAGGCAAGTGATATTGCCGAAACGAACGCGGGAGCAAGACGCTCAACCGACGTCTGGGACCTCGTAAACAGCATCCACGGCCTCTTCCAGACTGGGCTCAGAAGACGCGATTGCCGGCGCGCTCGGCGTCGGCGCCTCGCCCTCCGCTGGAGCCTGGCTGCTGTTGACCGCGCGCAGGCCGCCAGGCGCGACCTGCTGGCCGCGGCCCCGCGCCTCGGCGGGGCCCCCTGCCGCCTCGGTCGCCTCTGCCGCCTGTTTCGCCGCGAACTTTGGCCGCCGAGAGCTCGCTGGCCGCCTCCCGCGAGTCCCTGTCCGAGGACTTCGCGGGCGCGCCGCAGGGCTGCTGCCGCTCGCCTGCTCCCTCAGCTGACCCTGGAACAGGAATGTGTTCACCTCCAGCTCCATCCACGGCCTGACCTTGGGCTGCCTTGCGCTTCGTGACCAGCCACTCGGTGATGATGTCCTGCGTCTGCTCGTACCTGGCCGTCCACTGGTTGACTTGACTGCCACGTTCCTGAAGTTTGTCTCGTGCTGTTCTGAGCTGACTCTCCAAAGCGACGAGCTGCTCCTTCTCCGCCAGCTCACACTCGTACTCAGGCTTGGCGTACAACTCTTCATCCCACTGCACGTTCCAACCATGACTGCTGCCTGCCGTGCCCAACGCGGCCGACGCCTCCTCGACTGCGACGGCACCCGTCTCGATGGCGAGCGCTATGGTTGCGAGGCGCCTGTCCACCTCGGCTGCCGCGAGCTCCTTAACGAGCTCCCTCTCCCTGTCCTCCGCCACGGATAGTTCGCTCCTGAGGCGGAAGACATCGCTGATGGCCTGGTCCGCGTCGGTGGCACTCGCGCTGCTGAGCGCCGCCGCTAGCTTGTCAAGGAGCTCGAGCTGCTCAAGGAGGCTGTTCTTGACGACGATGTCGGACGTGCTGCTGATGAGGCGCAAGAGCCGAGCACGGGCCGCTGCCGCGGTGCCGGCAGTCGCCTGACCTGCTCCAGCTTCGCCGCCGCCCTTGCCCTTGCCCCCACCTCGCCCGCTGGTGTCGACCGCGAGCTGCGAGGTGTTGGCACTGTCATTGCCGCCGTTGCCTTTGGACTTCTTGTCCTCGGGGGCGTACGTCTGGACTGGTCGATGGCATTTACTGCGTACCCACGAGGCTCCAAAACATCCTTCCACTCTGAGGCACTACATGCTTTGCATGTGGTCCAGAGCCTGGGGCCTGCAGCCCGCGCCATCTGGGGTAATCATCCCGCCTCGCTGCGCGAATCAACCAACAGAGGGCGCCACGGGACCGCGCACCCCGCAAGCCGCCACGCGAGAGCGCGGGGATGGGCCTCCCTCGGGTCCGCAAGACAAAATGGTGCGCCTGAGTCGGAATGCATTGACCATGCGATGCGGAAGAGGGGGAAAGAGCGAGGAGGGGGAGGAGGGAGGAGGGGGAGAAGGAGGCGGGAAGGGGAGAACGCGGGGCGCCGTCTCGTCAACACGAGGACCCAACACCACAGGATGGTTGGGAAAAGAGATGGTCAACAAGATCGACAGAGAGCAACAAAACGTCACAAAGAACCGCCACCGGCCCAATCGTCGGGCATGCCCCTCCTGAAGAGGGACACGCCCGCCTTGACACTGGACCTGCGCAGCATCGCGTGGGCGCGGCGCGTGTGCGCGGCGCCCGGGGTGCCGCAGCCCATGGAAGCGCGATCTGCGTCGCGCGATATCCTGGGCGCCCGAGATGGGTGCGGAAATCGTGGGTGCAGTGCCCAACAACTTTCGTCCAGCACCGACGGCGGTCACTGTTGTGCAGGCGGGCTCCTGTCTCAAACGGGCAGTGTCCGAGGCGACACCGACAGCGGTTCCTGCTCCAGACAAAGACTGCTGTCGGTCTTCGTACCCACCCTGTCCGTACCGTGCACATTTCGATCGTACTGTTTGGATCCGCCAACAAAGAGAGTCATGAGAGGCTAGGTCCAGGCGGAATAAAGCCCAGACGGAGGCCCACCACGCCGTGCGCACATACTCCGCACGGACGTAGCACTATATCAAATCAGGCTGAGTCCAGACGGAGTAAGCAAGACGGAGACCGAGCGCTCCCTACGAACATACGATGAGAACGTGCATCAAGGACGGGTGGCCAGGACACAGGACCCTTGGAGGCCAAGATTGGGAGTTTTCGTGGGCGGCGGGCGACCAATAAAAACGGCAAAAGACGGACCGCAACGGCAAGGACACAAGGGCACCCTAGAAGAATGGAGGGACAAGAAAAGGCATAAACATAAAGTCTCCCTGGTGCACGAAGCTCGCCAGGGGTGGCGCCAGAGGCGACGCCACCAGGGGGCCCAGCGCAGATCCAGGAAATCTGCGCCGACCGCCAAACGTTGATGCTTGTGCCGATTCTTGGTCTTCAAATGAAGGCGCGCGTCCTTCCTAGGCGCGTTGACCGTACAGTCAACCCGTACAGTATGGATGCGCGATAAAGGATGCAAGGGCCCCGGAAGCCCCTTCCCAAGCTTTTCGAGCGGGGCGCAGCCGACGAAAGTGGCCAAGGATGGACCGAGGAGGCAAGGACGCAAGGGTACCCTTGGGAAGGATTGGCGGCGCGCACAAGGGGGTGGAGGGAGGGGGGAGGGCTTCTTAGAAGGAGGCTGCTTCTTAGAAGGCGCCGGCCTTACATCTATCGACAAGGCACGCGTCTCCCAAGAAGCAGGGGTGCTTCTAAGAAGCCTTCCCCTCTCCCCCATACCCCCTTCTGCGCGCGACTGAGAGGATGCCCGCCCTTCCTGGGCGCACCGACTGCACTCCACACGGGCTCCGCACATCCTCCGAGACGAGAGTAGAACAGGGCTAGGATCGGGATAAATCGCTCCAGAGCGTTCCGGAGCGCTCTCAGAGCGTTCCGGAACGCTCTGGAGCGGCCGCGGCGCCCAACACATCCTCCAAACCCGCCGATTCTCAGAGGTTTCGAGTTATCCCGATCCGATTTTGTCCCGATCTTCGCGTCGTTTTAGAGAGGCGGAGGGCCCCGCCTCGTCCGCACTCGGCTCCCCCAGCGGCTCGGCCGAGATCTCCGCGCCTCCGGCGGCCCGCTCCGGCGCCTCCGCGCCGGCGCCCTGCTCGGGGGGCAGCGCCGAGTCGCCGGGGGCCTGCGGCGACGTCTCGGCCTAGGCGGAGCAGCAGCGGGCGTCGGCTCGGGGACGGCCCCGCGCTGGCCCGCAGCAATCGGAGGAGGAGGAGGAGGAGGAGGAGGAGGAGGACGACGACGAGGAGACAAGCGCAGAGGGGGGCACGAGCAACGCCGCACAGGCACAAGCACAAGGGCGACGACGACGAGGACACAAGCACGGCGCGCCAGCGGCGCCAACTCGGCCTCGGCGAGTCGGCAGCGGGCGTCGGCCCGACGACGACGACGACGACGACGACGACGACGACGACGACGACGAGGACACGAGCACGGAGGGGGGAATGACCGACGAGGCGCCACGGCGGTATCAGAGACGGGTCCCGAGGGAGACAGGGGGGCGCAGAGGATGAGCGCGCAAGGGATGGCCCCGCGAAGGCCTCAACACTCGGAGGGCGACGAAGAGAGCACGAGCACAGAGGGCGGGACGAGTGGCGAGGCGGCAGGGGAGGTGACGCCTGGGACTAGCAGCGCAGCGAGGGCCGACGCGGCGCAGGGGCATCCCTGCCTGCGCTTGGCCTCGGCGGGAGAGCGCTTGCCTTGACCCGCACCGTCCGCGCTCTGGCGGCACAGAGGCCAGGGCATACACCACCACCCCGCCTCGCCGCAAAACAAAACAAAAGAAGACGACGTGGGGCTTTTGCCCGTCTTTGGCCTCTGGGGGCCCTCACCGGGCCCTGGGACAGTCAGGAAACGACCCAGAATGAAAAACCGTGCCTGGGGAAGGGGTCCAGATCTCCATGTGCCCACGTTGCGAAAACAACACGCCGTCCGGGTTGTGGGCAGTCAAAATCAGCCATGAGGACGGAGCACAGTGCCGATTGTTCATGAGGACGCGGGATAAGAACGCCAAGGCCTCGGAAGCCGCCAGCCCCAAGGGTAATTACCCTGAGAGGCTGGCCAACGAAAGAGGCTCAGGGTGGGCCGAGGAGGCAAGGACGCAAAGGCACCCTTGGCAATTCGCATGTCCTTAGCATGCGCGGTGACTGAAACTGATCGGACAAGAACGGGCAGCGCCGATTTTGTCAACTTGGCTCGCAGGGGGAGAAGAAGAAAAGGATGATGGCGACAACAAGGCGGCGGATGACGAGGATGAAGGCAGCGAGGGGAGCAGGAGGACAACGAGTAGGAAGACAAGCACAAGCACGAGGAGGAAGAGATGGAGGAGTACAAGCACGAGGAATAAAGCGAAGGAGGAGGAGGTCGAGAACAACGACGAAGGAGGACGGTAAGGAGCACGAGGAGAAGGACGTCGAAGAAGGGGGGGTCCTCGTGATCTGTTGAGGCTACCCTGGGAGCTGTTGGGGCCGTCTGGGACTATCATTGGGATTCCTGGGGGCCTTTCCTACTGGGGTCTTCTTTGGCTGCCTGGGCGTGTCTGAAGGATCTGTGGGGGGCTCTCTCATGCCGTCTTGGCGCCATCTTTGACTGTCTCGTGGCTCTCTTGGGCCATCTGGGTGCCTCCTGTGGCATACTTGGGAGCCTCCTGGAGCCCTCTTTGTGTCCTCTGGGGGGATCTGTTGGAGTTCTTTGGGTTGCTTTGAATGCCTCCAGGAACGATTCTAAGATGATGCTGGTTTGGAGTCCCCGCCGAAGCCATTTTTTCAAAGGATGTCTCTGGCAAAACGGCAACTTTCAAGAACCTGACCGAACAAGAATGGGAACCATCGCTTTTGTAGATCGGGTTCGTGAGGAAAGTATCGTTGTGTTTGCCTGTCCTGCTGCTACTCAATCGTGCTGCTGCTATGGTCTGCCGTGCTGGCCTGGTGTGCTGCAGCAGCTCACCAGACCAGCACGGCAGGGGCGTGGCGGGGTGCGGCGCCAGCGCTGGAAATGGCGATATTACCAAAGACATCTGCAAGTGCCTCGCATGCGAATATCAACCACGTTGGCCTTGCGACGATCGCTTCGAACAACGTCAGACCTGATTCCACACCTCCCGGCCAACTGCAATCGAACTTGAACAACGACGCAAATGCCAGCTCCAAATTGTCAAATCGCCAAGCCCGCGACCCACAAATATCAAGCCGCAAACAAAATGATTCCGGAAGTTCCGAATCGCGAAAATGGTGGTTCCGAAAATTCCGATTCGCCAAAAGCATGATTACGGAAATTCCGACATGTCAACTTAGTACTGCTTCGCGTGCAAACCGAAATCCGGGAAATTCGAAAACCACGTTCTGGAAACTCCGAAATCACAACGAAGATTCCAGAAGAAAAAAAAACAAAAACACATAAATGTTTTTCAGGAGTTCAAAAAATTCTAGAATCGCGCGCCTGGCGATCGGACGTCGTGGAATTGGCATTGCGCAGCCGTTCGGATTAAACGGGCCTCGCTTGTGAGAGTCCGAACCTGAAGGTCTGGCGTCGCTTGATGCGGTAGTTGCGAAACCAACGTGGTTGATATCAACATGTAAGGCCCTTGCGGATATCGTCGATAACATCGACATTTCCAGCACTGGCACAACACGTCTTTACACCACGCCCCATTTCCCCCTGCTGCGCTCTGCTGTGATGCTTTGCTGTCGTACCGAACTGGCGTGCTGCTGTGGAATACCGTGCATGCCTGCCGTGCTCCTGTGGTTTGCCATGCTGGTTTGCCGTGCTGGTCTGCCGTGCGCGAGCGTGCCAGGTGTGTACTGGCTGGGAAGGTGTGGTGGGCAGGTATACGGTATGTGCGCGTGTGTTGTGCGCGTTGTGCTTTTCAAATGTTAGAATGTATACCTGTGTGGTGCACCACTACAAAAACGGTAACGAAAACAAATGCGTGGAGGACCAGGATGGTGATGATGATGGTGATGTTGGCGATACTGACCGTAACTGTGATGATGATGGTGATGATGCTATTAGGGAGATGATGATGATGAAGATGATGAGGATGATGATGGTGATAATAATGATGATGATAATGATAATGCATATGATGATAATGAGTATTAAGATGATGATGGTTATGAAGATGTTGATGATGGTAATGATAATGACGAAGATGAAGATGAAGGTGAAGGTGATGGTAAGGTTGTTGATGATGCTGATAATGAACACGACGATGATGATGGTGCTACTGATGATGATGACGATGATGATGATGATGGTGACGATGATGATGACGGTTATGATCATCATGTTGAGGATGCTGAGGGTGATTCCTGTAGCTTCAAAGATCCGTCTGAGACAATTTCTTGAGGGTTGCCCGAGTGAAACACATCATGTTGAGTCGCCAACGCGTTGCAACAACTCATCCCACTCCTCAAGCAGACCAGCACGGCAGACCACAGGAGCACGGCAGACCAGCAAAACAAACCACGAGAGAACGGCATGCGGGCATGGCAGGCCACAAGATACTAGCAGATTACCACGGCAGACCACAGGAGCACGGCAGAACATCAGAGCGACACGTATATTCCCCAATCAGAGCTTGCCTCTGCAGGGGTCCTAGCGGATTCACATGGTTAAGTGAAGTGCGCCGCCGATTTCGGCGGCAAACCCGGGTGCCCGGGTGCCCGGGTGAGGTGCGCCGTCAATTTCCGCGGCCGGGTGCCCGGTTGCCCGGGTGCCCGGGTGCCCCGGTGCCCTATAGCCCTATAGCCCTATAGCCCTATAGCCCTATAAATCTATAGCCCTAGTTCATCCCTATAGCCCTATAGCATAGCCTTATAGCCCTGTAGCCCTATAGCCCCATAGCCCTATAGACCTATAGCCCTATAGCCCTATAGCCCTATAGCCCTTATAGCCCTTATAGCCCTATAGCCCTATAGCCTAGAGCCCTATAGCCCTATAGCCTCGAGCCCTATAGCCCTATAGCCCCATAGCCCTATAGCCCCATAGCCCTATAGCCCCATAGCCCCAGAACCCCCCAAAACGATTATGATTGGGGCTTCTCTCCGGTATCATATATATGTAGATATATGTATATATACATATTGTACATGTATAAAGAAGCACGACAGGTCACATCAGCAAGACATACCAGCACAACAGACCACAGAAGCACGGCACCCCAGCACGAGCTTCATGCTGAAACTGATGGTGCCGAAAAACACCTCCTCCGAGGCCGCACCTGTTGAGAGTGTCTGCAGCGAGAGCCTCATTTCGAAGAGGTGTGGGGGGACCAGCTCAGGGGGCAAACATCCACCTGGAATCGGCGACGCATCGATGATAGATCGGCGACAGGCCCCCGATGGCGAAATGGCACGTCTGGGCGGGGTGGGTTCCTTATTGGGCACCTGTCGGCGATCAGTGGGCGAAACCCGCCGCCGTGCCCTCGGGTCACGAGCTGGAGCGCCCTCGAGCACTTCGCCCAAAGCCCTCGGGCCTCGGTCGCCGATCCGGAAGGACTCGCTTCAGGGCCTGGACCCCAACCAGGGGGACGTAAGACCTGGGTACAGGGGACTCGGACATCCCCGACGAGGTCGTCAAAAAATGACGAGGCCGAGCCTGCATTTTGACGAGGCCTCCCGCTGCAGACATCCCACGGAACTCCTCCTCGTCAAAATCCGAAACGCGGTCGTCAAGAAACGATGGCGAACCCGAATCCTGGCAAACCCAGGTCTTACGCTCCCCCGACCCAAGTGCGCAGATCTCTTGAGGCTCCCAGCGTGCCCTCCCGCGGCTCCCGGCATCTGCCTGCGTGACGTCTTCAGGCCCAGGAGGGCCCCAAGGCGGGCCAAGGCCAAGGGAGCCCCAAGAGGCCTCCAAAACCATCCAGGAGGATCCCGAATCTGCGGTTCAAGACGCCCGAGATGGCCACCAGACGGCCGAAAACGCGCCGAAGACGCCCAAGAGGCCTCCCAAGATAGCCCTAGGAGGAAAGAATCCCCAAAGTCCATCGGGAAACGTACATCTTTAGTATATGAGACTTTTCGCCCTCACGGCGTTCAAAACTGCTCTAGAGGTCCCCAATCACTCCAAGACAGCCCCACATGACCCTGGGGCCCACTGGGGGCTCTCGTGGGAGCCTCTGGGTGCCCTCTTGGGCCGTCT